CAAACAGACCAACTGGGATAGGAACCCATGAGCCCCTTTAGCTCTCTGGCTTCATCTAAGGCTAAAAGTATGGGTGTTAGACCAGCACCTGGCATTAGACTGGAGGAATCAGATAGGACCTTGGTTCAGCAGCCTTGGTACTTCAGTTCAAGCTAAGAAAGTATTCAGAGGCAAGACTCAAACTATAAGAGAAAGTTTATTTAGAAAGTCACAGAGATAGAAGAAATGAACTGTAGGGAAAAAATTAGCTCATGAAACAAGTTATTGAGGCAAAAGAAGGACCCTTGGATCTTAGGAGAAAGAAAGAGACAAAGAGAAGGTGCCTGTAGAGAGGGGGAAGGAAATGCACAGGTATGCTCGATAGAGAGAACCATCAAAATGTTAAACTTTGAAAACAAAGTCTTTACTTTTGAGAGGATGGAATGATTACTAATTTTGGTAGGGCACAGCATTATGGTGAAAAACACAATGTGCTCACTAAATTAAGAAATCTATAAAGCAGCCGGGACTGGTTTGGCTCAGTGGATAGAGCATCGGCCGGCGGATTAGAAGGTCCCAGGTTCGATTCCAGTCAAGGGCATGTACCTTGGTTGCGGGCAGATCCCCAGTGGGAGGTGTGCAAGAGGCAGTGTTCAATGATTCTCTCTCATCGATGTTTCTAACTCTCTGTCCCTCTCAATTCTTCTCTGTGTAAAATCAATAAAATATATTTTTTTAAAATCTATAAAGCAAAATGGTATTCAGAACAGGTCATAGTGAACACAAAATTAATAATTGTATCCAAACTATGAATAATAGTCTACCAATTGAAATGAAAGCTGTAAATATTTTAAAGTATTTTTTGAAAGATAGAATGAGTGAACTATAAAATGTTTGTTATGAAGGTGTTATTGAAAACTTCCACAAGGAATGCAGCCCAGACAACGCCTTGATTTAAGCCCAGTGATGATTTTGGACTTCTGACCACCATTACTGTAAGATAGTGTTTGTGTTGTTTTATTTTTTATTTTTCGTGTGTGTTGTTTTAAGTCATTAATTTTGTGTTAACTGGTTACAATATCAATAACAATTCATTCATTCAGCTCTGACTATATCATACCAAACCTTCTCATGCCTCTGCCTACAACACGTCTCCCATCTATCTGCCTAGATCCAATATTGTTCTTCAAGAGTAATTAGGTCCACCAGGCCAGTGTGGCTCAGGCTGAGCATTCACCAGGAATGGATGTCCCCAGTTCGATCTTGGGTCAGGGCACATGCCCAAGTTTTGTGCTCAATTCCCAGAGGGGGGCGTGCAAGAGTCAGCCCATCGATAATGTTTCTCTCATCAATGCTTCTATCTCTTTATTCCTCTCCCTTCCTCTTTCTCTCTAAAAATCAATAAAAAACATGTTGAAAAAGAAATGTCACAACATCTCTATCCTCCCAATCCAAGATAAAAAAAAAAAAAGAGTAATTAAACCCATCACTTCTCCTCTTTTCCTTGGAATCTTTGCCTACACCAGGCTCTTCCACTTTCCAGTGTCTCCTAACATGTCTCCTGGTCAGCACTTACCACACTTGGGTTGCAATCACTGATAATTGTATTCCTGTTTGTACCACTTTGCCAATTTCTTGCTTATTGAGTGGCTTTAGTATTAGTTCTCTAGTTATTTACTAGGTCTCTCCAACAATATACACCGAGTGCCAGATTATTATGATGCCTGAACACATAATAATATGGCCACTCAGTGTGTATTCTATATAATAGTGGGCTAATATGCAAATTGTCCCCTCGACCAGCAGGCAGGCCAGCCAACCGCCCATGTCCCCTCTCCCTGGCCAGGCTGGCCAGACCCCACCCATGCACAAATTCATGCACCAGGCCTCTAATATATATATTAGTTCAGAGATCTTAATAATCTGGCCACTCAATGTAGTAAGCTTGCAGAGAACAGTGCCTACTCCTCTGTATATGTATATGTATGCACACACAGGTGTATCTTCTCTACATATGTTTAATGCAAATCCCCCCTAAAAAAATAGAGCATCAAATTAAATGCTCATTGAAAAAAAATGAGCCAGTCAACAGGCACACCTTATTTTATCGCATTTCACTTTATTGTGCTTCACAGATGTATTTTTTACAAATTGAAGCCAAAACCCTCCACCAGCAAAAAGATTATAATTCACTTTATTGTGTTGGTCTGGCATTGAACCTGCAATATCTCTGAGGTATGTCTCTACTTTGTAAAAAAAATTATTTCTTAGTAAGTAAGCAAAAGGAAAAGTAATCATGATAATATTTTATTATAATGCATTTTATTATACTATTTACTAACTTGCTATAAGAAAATAAAGCTCACTTATTCAATCAATTTTCTTCTGAAGGAGGAACTCTCAATAGCACATTTTTCTAGTCAAAATTTTGTTCTTCATATTATTGCATTTCATTTTGACCATCAGATGCAGTACCCCATACAACCAAAACTTATTTATTCATTTGACATATTTTGATTGGGTATATACTATGAGCAAGTGCTTTTTGGAACATAGAGAAACAAATGAATAAATCAAGGCTTATATTCTAGAGGGGGGAAGATATGCAAATAAATATTATCAAGTAAAACATGATAAAGGAAAAAAATGAAGTAACAGAATGGTAGAGATTAAGTTCTTTTCCCTTGGAGTAGAAAACCAGTCTTTAATGAGGCAAACATAGTGGTCAACACAAGAGGAGGTGGTAGTGGTTAAGAACCAGGATTTTCAAGTTAAATGGAACAAGATTTAAATCCAGTTCCACCAGTTCCACCCCTCATTGTGTGCCTCTGGGCAAACTCCTTAACTTACCTGAGCCAAACTGGCTCTTCTGTTAAAAAAAAAAAAAAAAAAAAAAAAAAAAAAGTACTTTCTCTCATAAGGTTCTTCTGATATAAGATAATCCATACAAAATGCTTTATCTGGTGCCAGACACATAGCAAGTAATTAATACATAGCAGCCATTATTATTATATATTTTAAACAGTGATTAACATTTCTGAATAATTACTTAACCGGGTTTCCTTATACAATATCATATGTTGTTGTTTTTTTTTTTTTAAAATCATTCACTCTACAGATACAAATACTTAGAAATGTAGAGGATGCTGTTCTGCTCCACAGATCCCTCCTTCTGGGTGAGGAACTCATTCCTTCAGCAGCTGTCAGAATTTGTCTGCTGAAGACTCTCATGTGATTCCCACTTTGGGAATTTTGCCCTCCACTAAATTGCCTCAGCTAAAGTTATGTCTCCTTTCTGTCAAGCTGAAGAACCAAAAGCCTTGGGTCTATTTTGAAGGCCCACCCAATACCAGAGCCCTCTGAGGTGGCCAGAGAAGCTGGATTAAGCAAAGCAAGCATTATATAGGCAAGGCACTGCTGTGGTGCTGTTTTTGCAAACTTTTTCTGTAAAAAGACCATAGTGTTTTAGGTTTTTGGTGGGCCATCTGTTCTCTGTCACGTGTATTCAGCTCTGCCATTCCAGGATGAAAGCAGCCATAGACAATACATAACTGAATGGGTGTGGCTGTATTCTAATACAGCCTTTTTTATGGGCACTGAATTTGAATATCACAATTTATTCATGTCACAAAATATTACTGTGATTGGCTTTTCCATTTTTTAAAAGTGGCTTAAAAAATTCTTGGCTCCTGGGAGCTTAAAATTGATGTAACTAGATTTACTGTGGTGATAACTTTGTAATATATACAAATCTTAAATCATGTTATATACCTAAAGCTAATATACTGTTATATGTTAATTATATCCCCCAGTAAAAAACAGGTGGCAGGCTAGCGTTGGTTGATTTTGCCAATAATTTGCCAATCCCTAAACTAGGGGAAGGAGGTAAAGCAGGGCAGCACTCACAAAGTCACCATTCTGGTGCATGGATTTACAGAATTTGATATCTTCGGACCCTAGACCTTGCAACCTTGTCTTAGGGATACAGAAGACCCCTTCCTGGCTCCAGAAGAGTCAAGAGAGCATGAAGAAAAGGAAGAGCCCTAGCCAGCTTGGCTCAGTGGATAGAGCATCAGCCTGTGGACTGAAGAGTCACAGGTTTGATTCCAGCCAAGGGCACATGACTGAGTTGCCAGCTCAATCACCAGTGTGGGGTGTGCAGGAGGCAGCCAATCAATGATTCTCTCTCATCATTAATGTTTCTATCTCTCTCTCCTCCCCTCCTCTCTGAAATCAATAAAGAAATATTTTTTTAAAAAGAATATGAGAAAAATAAGATTACTAACTTTGTATCACCAAGAAAATCATATATAGCAAAATCAAAATAGTTTAATATTCACTCTGTGATATTTTCCATTTGGACATTTCATCTCCACTAGAAAACAGAATTAGGAGATTTGAGTGGCTCTTGTGTGGCTATATCTAAGTAACCATTCCATTGGATAATAAAAACACAATTGCAACTTGCTACTGTTTTCATGTTTATAGAGAACATATTTTTAAGTGATTTCCTGATACAGAATAGAAAAGAGAGAAAAACGTATTTTGAAACTGAACCTATCTCTCTACCCAAATATAGCAGCCTTCTTCAGTTTATTTCCCTCAAGAAAAAGCAACTTGAGGGACTTTATGAATAACAACCATTTTTAACTCTTTACCCTGAAATCTTTGGCCTTTTACTTTTGCCATGATGTGTGGTCTTTTTGGTTTGTCTTCTTTTTCAATTCCTATACTCCTTGAAATGAATCTTACCTTTGCTTTTTTGATCATTTTTATTTTTTTGCTTTGTTGCTATACAACCCTGGCTTTGAAAGCACTCTTTATAGCTCCTCTTCCCACATTCCTTCATCATGTGTAATATTATGAGATTTCCTCTTAATTCACACCTGACCTCTAGCCAATGTTTACTTCTCTAGCTCTTGACTCCTTCACAACCCCCTCCTCCGCATTCTCAGAATAAATGAATGAAGTGTTGTTTTAGCTGTGAGAGTTGATAAAGGGGAATGGAAACATCCTCCCCATTATGGATTCACATTGCTATACTGTGAAATATGGAGACTAGGAGTACTGATCTCAGTGGACACCAACTGCAATAGGCGGTTAATGACTATATCCCTGGCTTTTGAGGTCTCCAGATTCTTCTCTCTCGACACTTGGAGGCTAATTTGGTCCACACTTGTCATGATGAGTTCAGATGCCAGAATCTGGGTAGGGGAACTGTCCTGAAACACTGTATCCATAATGTACTGTTTATATAACTCCACCACCTTCTGTTCCAGATACTCGTTCAGCACAGCATTAGAAATAGGCTTCTGCATTTGCAGGCTGTTTTTCTCCTTGATGCTGGTTATTCTCCAGTAGGATGAATACCGCTGGATAGGTTTTTGGGGCAAGTCACTGGGCTGAGTAGAAATGGAATCCTCCATCGGCAAAGGAATCTCAGATGATTTCAGCAAAGGGCCGGATTCAAAACTACTCTCACAGAGAAAATCTCTGGTCACTGAACTAATGGCCATCACTTGGCCCCCTGCAATATGTAAGTCATTGTAATTCTTGCAAATACTTTTGCAGGAAGGTGGAACCAAGTAGGTCTCTCTGCTGGGGTGTCTACAGATTTCAACTGCAGCCAAGTTGGGGCTTTCAAACAAGGGGTTGGGATTTGTCTGTAACACTGTGATTCTCTGGTTTCTACTGTGTTGGCTCTCTCTTGAATGCACTGAAGAAATGAACTTGCCAGAGGATTTGCAGCTCAGGTAGAGACTTCCGACTTGGGATTCATCCACAGAGGAATAGCAAAGAGCAGCAGAGTTAGTCTCTTCTACCTCTTCCTCAGCCACGTTCTCATTATAAGATGCACAATTCCAGGGGGTGTCATTCCGGTAGGCAAGTCCACTGATGTACCCTTCCGACAGCATTCTGGAAAGAGAGTTTATGAGTAACAATGAGGAAAATGAAGACTGGATTTTTTTTTTTTTAGTTGACAGTTGATGTACCAAAAAAGTAAAGGAAATAATAATTTCATTCATTCACCAAGCCATTACTAATTCTGTGCCTACTTTGTACCAAGACTATGGCGTGTGCTAGAGATAGAAAGATAAATAGGACACAGTTCCATCCTTCAAGAAATTTCCACTATGGGCTTGCCCTGCTTGGCTCAGTGGTTAAGAGTCGACCTATGAATCAGGAGGTCATGGTTTGATCCCTGGTCAGGGCACATGCCCAGGTTGGGGGCTCCATCCCTAGTGTGGAGTGTGCATGAGGCAGCCCATCAATGATTCTCTCTCGTCATTGATGTTTTATCTCTAGCTCTCCTTCTCCCTTCCTCTTCAAAATTAATAAAACTATATATAAAATATGTATGGGAAAAGATAAACTAGATGCAAACAATTCCAATATTATATCACAGATGGTTCAAATCATGATAGGCACAAAGAAAGCGAAGAGGAGCTCCTAACACCACCTGTGGATAAGGGAAAGGAGTTACGAATATGTCACAGAGAAGATGACATTTCATCCAAATTGTGAAGACTAAGTAAGAGTTCCAGCCATAGGGACAGAGTTATAAGAGAATATGGTGTTGTGGCCTATTCACCATACACCAAGATGCTGAGCATAAGTGGAAGGGTCTGGGAATATAGGTCGGAATTAGGTCGTGAAGGTCATTAGGAGTCAAGCAAAGGCATTTGTATCCTGCCCCAGAGGAAATGGAGAGTGATTGAGAAGCTGCAAATTGAGAAAACAACATACCTAGTGGGTTATGAGAAAAACAATGAGACCGATTTTACTGATAATAGAGCAATATTTTACCCATCTTTGGATTTTATCCCTCAAAACTAGCACAGTTGTTTGCATTTAGGAGAGACTGAAAAGATATTTGTTCGTTTGAATTAAATACCTGACAAAAATGCATGGTATGAAATTAATTCACTATCAACCCATCATGAGGGACCACAAAGCCTCACCAACCTTTGCAGCCCAGCGTACTTCTCACAATAAGTCCTAGAAATGTCTCTGCACTCAACTGAGGTGTTTACCTCTACCCTATTTACCAAAAAGATTTCCTGACCATGGGCTTTCACTACAACTGCCTCCCCTCCCCACCCCCAGCAGTTGTCAGCTGAGTTTGGAGTGGCTAGAATAGGCTAGAAAGCAGCAGCTGCATTTTCTAAAAAAAGGTACACACTGACATTCTTGGCGCTGGGCGCTAGACAACAAGGAAAACTGATCCTCTTTGTCCTTGAAAGCTGGGCTTCCGAAACAGACCTGTCAACATGAACCTGCATTGAAAAGTCAAATTAGGAAAGGATTATTTTAACCATACATAAAGGTCCTTTTTTTGGAATATTAGTGCCTCTTTTATATTCATGCAGTTATTTCCCAAGTAAATGTTTAATTGTATAAAATAAATATTACAGATATCTGTAATAATAAAAGTGTAATATGTTAATTAGACCAGACATCCTTCTGGACGTCCTTATGTCCTTCTGAACAAAGCTGGGGCTGCAAGGGAAGGCTGGGTCCTGGGTGCCAGAGGGAAGCCGGTGCCAGCAGCCAGGGGAAGGAAGGCCTACTCTTGCACGAATTTCATGCATCAGGCCTCTAGTAATGAATATAATTGTTTTAATTGTATAAGAGTAATATTTTCAATGTTTATTTTCCCTTTTTGGAACTATTCCAAGACATATTCAACAAATGTATCAATTATTTAAATGTTTATATTCCAGGTATAGTCGTGTACCATAATGATACAAAATTAAAGGTCTACAACAAATCCATAAAGTAGTGCTGGTAGGCTGGACACAGTTATAAGGATAAAGAAAATGTTTTTCTTTCCTAAAAAATTGTTCTAAGTGTGTTTCTGCCCTCGACAAACTGAATTTCCAGGTGAAAAGGCAAATCTTTATATACTAGTACACGAGAAGATAACAGAACAAAAAGGTTTACAAAAAAAGGCTTTATAGTGAGGCAGTTATTTCCCAACCCTTTCCCCAGTACCCACCCCCCACCCCATCCCCGCCAAGGCTGCAGCTAAGGCCTTCCCCTTTCAAGGCCTCAGAACATCATTGTAGAAAACCAGAGCAGAAGTCCAACTTTCAGCTTTTGAGTTTCTAAACTGGCCTCAGAAACTCTCAGAAGAAAGCATCGTTTTTGAAGAAATGGCTTTTGAGATACCATAACCTGAGCTTTGATATAACATATATTTTTTAATTGATTTCAGAGAGGAAGGGAGAAGGAGAGAGAGATAGAAACATCAATGATAAGAGAGAATCATTGATTGGCTGCCTCCTGCACAGGCGCCAAGTAGAGGTAGAGAAATTACCATGGATGTCAGTGTGACTGCATGATGACAACCAGAGATACCCCCCCACTCCCATGTCCCCAACTGACCCTATGGCTCTGTGTAAGCAAGCTGGAACTTAGAGGCAAACCCAAGGAGGACGGAGCCCTGAAGTGACTGAGGACATCCTGATTGACAGTGATTACTCAGGAGAATGTAAGCTGAGCTCAAAAATTAGATCAAATTGAGGTAGAAAAAAGCAATTATTTTCAGGAAAAATAGCTGGTTAGGCATATGCATGTATTTCCCACACCCTGAACTTCATTAGAACACCAGTAAGTGATTTTTTAAAGATACAATCCACAAAAAGAGGGAGAATAGGAGAAGAGACTAAAGCAATTACATTTTAGAACTAGAAAACAGGAGGCCGAAGGTTAATGACTTAGGAGACTTAAAAGGCTGAATCTTACAAGACCCATGGGAAAACCTAAGTACCAATCTGATTTAAATTTTCCTAAATATTTAAGGATTGGTAGCACCCTATACCCTTTGGAAGTAAGGTAAAGCAAGTGTATCTAAAATAAGAAATATTCACTGAAAGTCTATTGAAAAGGCAGTCAGAAACCCAGATCCTCTCTCTCATTCCAGGTAGCCAGGTGACTATCTCCCATCTCCATTCCCAAGGGAAAACTTGGAACTTATTCTCTGAAAACTTAAGGTTTCTGAGCTATGAGATGCCAGCTAAGGGTTGGACTACTGTACCAATAATAGATTAAATAAACATACGCATTTAGATGCTGAAATCCATGACCTCTCTCTCCCTTTTGCTCTCAGAATACCTTCCAGGCAGGATATTGTGAAGACTGTTCTGGGGAATCAGACTTGCCTGAGACCAATTGACATCAGAGGTTCCCCCAACTAAATGGGGCACCCAGATCACCCTTCATTCAAGTTTATAATCAATAGACCCCATTTAGCTTTTTGGCTCCGTAATCCTTAATATTCTCAAGGCAATAAGGATAATATTGCAATCTTGAATTGTGAATGGGATGCTAATGGAAAACATTCTGAAGTTCTTGAAAATTAAAAATATTATACAATTTTAAAACTCAATAGAATGGCTAGAAGGTAAAGTTGAGGCAAACTCTCATTTTGAAAGTAGAGCAAAACTATAAGATGGAAAATAGTAGAGAAAGGTTAAAATTAGAAAACCAGTCCAGGAAATCTATTATCTGAAGAGTAGAAATTTCTAGTTCAGAAAGAGGACAGAGTAAACAGAAGAGAAATCCAAATAATTCAACAATATTTCCCAGAACTGCAGGACATGAGTTCTCAAAATACTTGGTAAAAATAGACCACACTGCTTTTTATTGTTGTGAAATGATATAGAATGCCTGAACCAAAGTGAAAATACTATACATTTCTAGAGATTTTAAAAAGTGAGGGGGGAAAATCCAAGAACCAGAATCTTCAGACTTCTCAACAACAACATGAGAAGCAGGATGATCATGCAACAATATCAAAAAAATTATTGAACAGCCAAAACCGGTTTGGCTCATTGGTAGAGCGTCAGTCTGTGGACTGAAAGGTCCCAGGTTCGATTCCGGTCAAGGGCATGTACCTTGGTTGCAGGCACATCCCCGATAGGGGGTGTGCAGGAGGCAGCTGATCTGATGTTTCTCTCTCATTGACGTTTCTAACTCTCTATTCCTCCTCTCCCTTTCTCTCTGTAAAAAAGTCAATAAATTTTTTTTAATTCTTGAACAAAAGTTATTTCAAACTAGAATTGAATGACCAATTTATCAATTAAGTATGGATAGAATAAAGATATTTTAAAGTCAGCATCTCAAAAAAATAAATAGATAAAGCTGAAACCGGTTTGGCTCAGTGGATAGAGTGTCGGCCTGCGGACTGAAGGGTCCCAGGTTCAATTCCAGTCAAGGGCATGTACCTTGGTTTCAGGCGCATCCCCAGTAGGGGGTGTACAGGAGGCAGCTGATCGGTGATTCTGTCATCGATGTTTGATGTTTCTAACTCTCTATCCCTCTCTCTTCCCCTCTGTAAAAAATCAATAAAATATATTTTTTAAAATAAAAATAAATAAATAAATAAATAAATAAATAAATAAATAAAGTCAACATCTCAAATAGTTTGTCTCTTGGCAACTTTCTCAGAAAGTGAATGGAAGGTGTGCTCCTCTGAAAGGAGTAAGTAAATGAATAAAATGGAGACGAGGGGTTACATGAAAACAGGAGAGAAATGAAGGGGCACTCAGACTAGGAGAGCCTGGTTCCCTCTTCCAAACCCTACACTGGAAAGGGCCCCACTCCAGCCCTCCCGTGGTTGTGCCCCTGCTCAAATCACCCAGACCCAATCTCAGAGTTTGCACTGGCTTCTCTCCATACCCATCATGACCAGAGACAGCTTAGGGTCTGGACATGTACCCATGCCCAGGCCGAGTAGTAATGAAGGGGCTGCTTCTTATTGGGGCTGTGGATTGAAATTGGATATGTGAGCTGAGTATGAGGTGTGGCTAGGACTAGGAAGAGAAGATGAAAAAGCTGTGGCTGAGATATGCAAATCAAAACGACAATGTGGTACCATCTCACACAGGCCAGGCCAGAATGGCTTATCATC